CAACCAGGCGTGTAGCGTCGAGTTGGCTATAATCATCTCATATCCAACAAGTACGAGTGGAATAATTGTTTTATTAAAAAACCGACCTCAAGATATTAGACAAATCTTCTCGACTTTATTTTGTAAGAAGAAACCGGATGTTACAATGTATAGATATTAGATTATGGTATATTGGCTCATATACCGCAATGGCTAAGCCAATAAAGAGGCTTAAATTGCATTATCCAATGCTCCAGTTTTTAATAATGAATATTATTAAAAACTAGATCATTGGATAATGCAATTCAAGACTTTTTATTGGCTTAGCCATTTTATTTTGTAAAAAGAAACCGGATGTTACAAGGTATAGATATTAGATTATGGTATATTGGCTCATATACCGCAATGGCTAAGCCAATAAAGAGGCTTAAATTGCATTATCCAATGCTGTAGTTTTTAATAATGAATATTATTAAAAACTAGATCATTGGATAATGCAATTTAAGACTTTTTATTGGCTTAGCCATTATGGTATATCAGCCAATATACCATAATCTGCAAATATGGCAAGCGTACGTGTCAGCTTAAAATTAAAAGGGAGCTAAAAATTTAATAAAATTTAATAATATTTAATTTTACGTTTTTAATAAACAATTATTTCAATTTCATGTTTCCTGTTTGTTTGCGGCTACTCATTTCCACGTTTTCGTACTCATTTCTTTTAGTCGGCGAGTTTTCCATTTGTTCACTTCCTCTCATTTTCTTTTCTTCGGTTGATAGCTCGGGTTTTTTTTCTCTATTTCTTGGTTTTTTTTTATTCACCTATCCACATCCGTCTTTCGTTCGTTCGTTCATTCATTCGTCCATTTATACATTAGCTTTATCATTCGTGCATTCGATTATTTTTAATTGACGCGTCCTTAACCCAGTTATCGATTCTTACCCAACTTTTTCTTGCCTTAACAAAGGCCACTTGCATATCAGTTTAAATACCAGATTAGGTTCTCTCAAACTACTTAGTGCCAGTTACGAGATCGACATCTCGACGCACTGCTACGAAAAGAAGCTTTTCGACAATTGTTCCTTAAGGCGTTTTTTTTTTTTTTTTGCAGTGACAGATAACGCCTTGATACAAACGATATACGGTATCTGTGTATCTAATAACGAGTGGGTTTCAAAATCAAACTGATAATATGCTAAAAGCTCTGGGAATAAAATTCATTCACCATATCAGAATATTAGAGTTCAAGTCATGTTCACGTCAGCCCGGTGAAGTATTAGTTACGTGACACCTTTTAAACTGACTTTGTAGTAATTCTCAGCGGGTGACAGGGATGACTTTTTTGAAAATATCATGGTTAATTACTTTTCTCAGCAGCTGCGAAAGCTTGTTATGAAAACCATTTTGTAAGTTCAAACACCACCTTC